AGCCAGAAAGGCCTACCCTTCCTCCACCAAGCCGCCTCCAGGTCTTCCAGGCCTTCCAGGCCATCGGCCAGGCCAGGTTTTCCAGGCCACCGGGCCGCATCCGGATCCTCCAGGCCGCCAGGTCGCAATCTGCCATGGCCGCCAAGACCGCCTGGCCGCCAATCCTCCGGGCCGCTCGGCCGCCACTCGGCCACTCGGCCGCTGCACCTCCAGGGCTCCAACGCCTTTGTTGATCTTCTCTGCACACTTTCCAGGGTCTCAACATATTTTTTGTATCATGGTGACCAATACTGGATGCAGTATTCCAAGTGTGGTCTCACTAGCATGGTGTAAAGCCCTTTTTTCACTTCTCATTGTCTTGACGCTATCCCTCTGTTGATGCAGCCTAGGAGTGTATTGGCCTTTCTGCCAGCTGCAGCACACTGCTGGCTCATATGTGAGATTTAGGACAGCTAAATCTACACCTAGATACTAAAGAACAGGACTTCTAAGGTGATCTAATGGAATGTGAGAATAACCTTGGAAAACGGATAGGCAAAGAGATGCAGCATAGGATATGGTTAGAAAAAAAGGGGGAGTAATCAGTAATGAGCAGAAAAAGAAATTTCAAAAGGATCCCACTTAACTTATCAGACAATTAAAAGAAACCGTGGGGGGATTTGTACTTTCAAACTTGCAAGATTTTGTTAATGCAACCTTACAATAAAGTAGAATTAGTTCACTTGTCATGTCCCTTGTCTAATCAACTTGGAAGACTGGCAGGGAATAAAGGAAGAGAAATGGAAACTGTCTTTTTAAAAAGAAAAGGAAGGAAGGAAGGAAGGAAGGAAGGAAGGAAGGAAGGAAGGAAGGAAGGAAGAAAGAAAATATAAATTGAATACATCTATTTTTATTTAAAATACTCAGAAAGGAAAAGATTTTGGCAGAGGGGGACTTGAGTCATTACCCCAAACTGCATACCTTTTGTTTGTCTAAAGATGTCCACCAATGTCTGAGCTGCGTCTTCTATCTGATGCTCAATGCTCTTCTTCCCCAGGCCCAACTTCCGCAGAGAAGTGATGCCGATGTGTCTCTGCTGTTTCCAGATGTGGCCATTGGAAATAATAATTCCTGAAGGCATCAGCAGACAATGATAAATGATTCCTGATTACGTTTGTGTTAAATATATATATACCGTATATACTCGAGTATAAGCCGAGTTTTTCAGCCCATTTTTGGGGCTGAAAAATGCCCCCCTCGGCTTATACTCGAGTCAGCATCTCGAAGCAGCTGCTG